TATTTGATGGAAGAAATAAAAAGCTATGAAGCAAGTAACTTACTATTTACCTGCTTTTGGCAGTAATGTTGATTTTTTCTCACCAATAAAAATATATGGGTAAAGTTTCACTTGAAAAATTAATAAGATTTGGTCAGTTGCCTGTGTGAGAAGGTTTCTGATAAAATTCACATACTTAAAGACAAAATGGGAAATCATTATTTTATCAGGATGATAAGATTTTACGTGTTTTATAAATTACAAAATGAACATCCATCAGGATGAATTGGCCTGATATGGGATAGTTTAATATAGAAGTGGTTGTTTGTAATGTATTATAATGTAAATAAATGATCGTGGTGGTGGTTGTGATGATAAATCATCTACAGTTTGAGTGATGTGATAAGTGTGCCTGAATACAACAATGGTTGCAAGTCTTGAAAATGTTAAATCAGTTACATTGGACTTGAGATTATGAAATGTTCTATTTTGAGTGTACTAGACACCCAAAGACTGTATTTGAAATCATGGATGTCAGATTTTCTTCACTGGCAGTGTAAAAAAAATTGAGAGGTCAATTGGCTGATATGATTTGGTCTTGTGAATCATTAATATTTTTCTGAAATAATATTTTAACATGCTTAAACAGATTTATGGGGAAGAATTAATGTTAAGGATGTTAATGTGATGTTAAATTTTGTTCCCAAACTCTGGAATCTGATTACATTTGAGGAATTATGGCTATACCAGGCCTAGGGTATTGCTAAGATTATTTTGAGAAATTAGAAAAATATTATTGTTTTATAATACTTGTTAAAATAAAAAATAGTATGTTTCTTAGAAACGACACTGAGCACATTGAGAAATATATGGATATGAGATAGAAAATTAAGTGTACAGTTGTTGATTTAGAAAAAGTGAATGATGAAGTGAATAAGTTTGAACTATGGAAAGTTTGGCATGAGTATGGAAATAGAGTTTGGTTGTTGAATGCATAAATGGTATATGATGTAAATAAAGCATGTGAGAGAATAAATGGAATGCTTAGTGATTTTTTCAACATTGAACTGAGAGCAAGAGAAATATGTGTGATCTTCCCTTGGCTGTTTAATGTGTTGATGGGTAAATGTATAAGAAAACCCTGTGATGACATTAGATGTATGTTGATTGGGGTCATGATGTGCATGTGTTGTTGTATCAGACCTTGCCTTGTTAACTAAGAACCCAAATAATTTGTAGTAAATGTTAGATAGATTATATAATGCAGTGAGGATATGTGAGGATCTGAATATTAATGTAGTAATGACCAAGTGGTTGTGCTTGACTAGGAAAATGGAATGAATGTTTGCGAGTAATATGTTAATGGAAAAAAACTAGAACAAGTAGATGAAATTTTACTAAAGATAGCAAAATACATGGATATGATGCTGATAGAAATATAGAGAGTAGTATGTATATGTTGCAAGGGATGAATATTTGTCAAAGGAAGCAAAAATGCCTTTGTATGCAGTTTGCTTCTTTATTCTTCACCTTGTTATATGGAAGTGAGAATTGAGTATTTCTGGAGAAAAAAGTAATGCAGTGGGAATGGGATACTTAAAAGGTGTGGTTAAAACAAGTGATGAATATAGATTTGATACAAAAGTCAGATTAGTACAAAAGAAGTTCATTGAGGAGAGAATAACTTTGGATTGAACTTTAAAATATATAAAGGTAGAGTGAATGGGGAAGATGGAGGAAGTTGTGGCTGGGTAAGATTAATTAAATCCTAAAAAGGAGAGAAGTGAGACGTCTAAAGAATAACAAGCAAAGTGTGAAATGGTGTAGGGATAAGATAGAAGCAAGGATGATTTGAAAGGATAGAAAAGTATGGAGAGGAACATGAATGGTATTATATAAACTAGATTTAGTTACATTTCTTTTTCTCTTGTCTCATTGCTTCAGTATATTTTGTGTACCCGTTTATACTATTTCAAACTCCTTTTGCAAGGTTTGCATAATGTTGCTTGCCTTGAAATGGAACAGCATGATGGGTAGTGTCATGTATATATGTAAGAATATTGCTAGGGAAAATCCACAACATAATTGGCTTTCTCATTGTGCCTCTTGTGGTTTCCTCCAGGTGTCAGTCTTGTATCATGCCTCAGGAGTAGTCTCCTTCTAATACCCTTCATGACAGCAGTAAAGGCTTACTTGAAATCCTGCAGAAGATACTTTGGTGATTGTGAAAATGCTGACTTCAGAATTAGGCCTGCATTGATCCCCCTTTTATATTGTGAAGTTGATTCCATTAGGACAAGAATTTCAGCACTTGCCTTTTAATGGTGCTTCTCTGGACTGGAAGAGGGGTGTTGGGTATGTGCTGTGTGTGTGTGTATGTATGTGTATGTATGTGTGTGTATATATATTTTTGCTTCACTATATATATAGTGAAAATTGACTTGATAGGAATTGTTAGTGTTCAGGTCTCTGAGACGTTCTGTGAGATGAATTAGAAGTATAACTGTAGAATAGAAGCTGTGCAAGTACACCTTTTTCGACAAGCTCTCATACTAGCATCTGTAAGACTAACCTTCCTGCAAGCTACTGACAGCCAGACTAAGATGCACTGAATGAACTATAGAGTCAACAAGTGCAAGGCCTATGGGTTCAAATCCTGTTGAAGAGTTGAACATAGAACAACTAGCACGGAGGATATCTACGCCTGAAGAGTCCCCAGTAAGGATGAAACTGATCATGTAGTGCCTTTTACTGGTCAGTAGCTAGAATTTCAGACTAGTTTCATAGCAATAGGCTAAATATTTATGAGACTGAAAAAATGTATAAAATCTTTACCGTTTATGTAAATTGCCAAGACTATTGCATTGTGCCATATTTTGATTTTGCATTGTTTCCCAGTGTAGTTACTGAAATCTAGGGGTATTTTACAATTGGTTAAATATATTATATATTAATATGAAACCTTAAAGACTAATAGTTTTATTTTGTAAACATTAATAGACTAATACATTAATCTTTAAGGTGCCACAAAAGTGTTCCTTTGTTGCAATAATACTATTTCTCTGCAGTCTTATCAGACTATATTATGAATATGGAAAAAGTCAGATGTTGTAGTGTTTTGCTTACTGATAGACATATGTACTGTCTTGTTTGTTAAAGTTGCCAGGGTTGAAAAATGCTGCTTTAGGAGATGAGAGATGAAAAAGTTGCAGTATAATAAAATATACTGAATAGCCTGGGAGCTTCAGGGGGATCATTTTTAACGTAAAAGGCTGATGAAAGTCTGGATTGACAGCTTGCATGCATAATTGTAAATGGCCTAAAAATTAGCAAAATATATTTGCATATTCACATACATGCAGACCACCCAGTATACCCTTCAAAGCAACCACACTAGCATTGAAAGAATGTGGCTGCTTTAATGCTTCAAGGAGGGTACTTTGCTTCCTCTGATGTGATTTGCAAAGCATCTTTTTTTAATGCTTTGCATACCCCTATCAATTCTATGGAAGGTTCTAAGTTCTCTGGAATAACAGCGTGAGAGGAAATAACTCATCCTAACATCTTTTTATTTGCTTTTCTTGTTTTTATGGTTACAAAAAACAACCGTATAAAAACACTCCAGGGGCATTTGTCCACCTACTAATATAGGTGCTTGAGAGCTTCAGTCAGTAAAATGCAGTATTGTAATTTTAGGACCCAGTTTTTGGTAGATGAAAATTGGTTACCCACAGCTAAGTGGTTATATTATTACTGCCATAATTGCTCCTGCACTGACTATGCTGGTTTCCTAATGGTGTCACTGACAAGATGGCTGGGCCATGTGGGCTGCCCTGCCTTATTCTCCCATCAGGCATGTAGCTCATTCATGTCATGCTTAGTATTGATGAACAAAGCTGAACTCAAAATGCTGTAAAATTAGAGATAATGTGCTCTAATTCTTAAAATGAGCTAGACAGCAGTTTAGTTATTATAATGTTAACCTTGGATGGGGAGACCTGCATTTACATCCAGATTTGTCTTCAAATTAGGATGACTCAATTATTTCAGCTAAATAGCAGGATATGGATGTGATCACAGAAATAACAAATCTTTAAGGCAAACTGTTGCAATAGCTATTCCCTTGTTACCGATAGAGGAAAAGAGTGTCAGCTAGGGTTGCTCATGGCTATGATCTGGAAAGAGTTTGTGCTTTTCACGGTGGTGATAACAAGATATTGGCATTAGTTTAAGACTAGCAAGGGACGTATTAATGCTAAACAACATTGTAAACCATTTGGATTGCTTTGATAATGTATAATACTTACCTTCAAAGAATTTCTTAGGAAATTCACTGCCATGACATCTAAAATCAGAGGATAAGCCCACCAGTGTCCCTTAATTATGTTGGAACCTTCCTTGTTTGAGAGGTAGTATGCTACTGATGCCAGTTGTTGGGAAGTAGATATGGCTTTCATATGCCACTGATTGGATTTCCAGAAATACCTGATTGGCCAGTGCAAGAAATGGGAATGCTGGACTTGATAAATCTATGGTCTGATTGGTAGGACTGATGAAAGCAGAAGCGGCGGGGGTGGGGTGTTGGAAGAAGAGAAGGATTAAGGGGATATGGAAGTACAGAACAGGGCTGGTTATATTTTGGAAGGATAGTTAGACCCTCAAACACTATAGTAATTAGTGTTTAGTATGCCCTTGAGAATTCTAATATGAATCTTTGAAATTATTTCTTGAGGCGCCCATGTACACAAGCTATATATGTGCTTGTGTGAATAATACGCACAGCTTATTTACAAAAAATATATTGAGATCTGGTACTGTACTTTAGAGACTGATAGAGATGCCAAAAAAAAAAAGCGGCAGCAGTTTGAGATTCATAATCGCATAAGAGGAGCCTCAGAGTCTAGGACTATTGATGTTTGTTAGGCTGAAATGCTTAGCAAAAGGGAGTCTGGGCAAGATGTATTGAAATGTTTCCATTAATATGTTATATTTGACAGCTTTTTCTTTTCTTTTTCTTGTAGCAGCAGGAAAAACTCAAACTGTTGGAGGATTTCATGTCAACTTGGGAAAGGAATCGCGGGCACAGACTTTGCAAAATGGTAACTTGTAATTCTTATTTTTATTTAGCCTTGCTAAAGAAAGCTATCCTAGAGCTAAATTTTATCAACTATGATTTTGGAGGGTGTATCAGAGAGGAAGTAGATATTTTTAGAGCATGGTTTATGCAACTCCCTTTAAATTGTGAATTGAGTTGGAAGAAATCTGTACTGAAAACCATAGTTGGCGGCAGCAAATAGTAATTAATGAGAGGAGGAAAACAAGGCATATTTGACATCTCTGTCCCCATAGCTTGCAAATAAACTACTTTAAAATGTCAGATGTACTTTAATTCTGGGACTGAAACATTTTTTTTCCATTCAGTATAGACCTGGTTCAGCTGAGTCATGAATCTTGATCTCTTGAATTCAAGTAGAATAATAAACTTCCAAGAGCAGATTGATGGAGGGCAGCTGCATTCAGTAGCTTCACAATATGAGTGTCTTTCCCAGGTGGTGGAATGGGCAGTCTGAGGCACTCCAGATGTTTTGGACTAATTCTTCATCCATTCTGGCAAAGAATAGGACGGATGGAAGGTGAAATAAAAAAGGAATAGAGGGCATTAGCTTGCCTATCCATTAGAAATACAGTGCTGAAATTAAATAAGTGTGGATTTGATTAATGCTTGAATGAAAGACCATTTTTCCATTGTAAACTAAAGTAGTGTGTACAAATCTATTCTTAAGCTCAGAAGGCCCACTATGCTTGGTAATTTTTTTGCAGAATTTGTGAAGTTTCCAGGTCAAAATTATAATCCACATTTACATTTTCTTATAAAATGTTTGAGCAAGCCTTCTGCAGTGACAAGCAATGTGCTGTAGAAAAGAGCAAAAGCAATGGGTTGGGTTAGGTTAGACCTAAAAAAACCTGTTCCTGAATTTAGGCTGGAAAAGATTTTTCTTCAGTTCCTTTCTCTTCTTACATTTGAGAAGCTGGAGCTGTAAGTGCAGCAAGCAGATGGCATAGACCAGCCAGTCAAAAAGTCAGGCTTTTATATTTAAATCACATGTGGCTGATTCAGAGGCTTTATGTTATGTTCCAGTGATAGTTCATATGTAACTGGATATGGATTGTCATACTTTTTATTTTGAATACATCATGTGTTATTATATTTAAAACTAAATTTCTTTACAGATAATGAACACTAGCTTTAAAATTCATGGTTTTGTTTTAAATATTCTATTTCACTGCACAGTTAATGTCAGTAAATAGCCTTTACTGCCTATTTCAGAGTGTTGCCTCTGAAATGTAATGTAAGGTTGATGTTCTCATGAATTATTTCTAACAAGACCTATAAAGTAATTTGCTTGATTTTTCTCTCAAAAAACTGGATATTGTACAGTTTCATTAATTACTTTCACTAGTGAGAGCAACCTCTCAGTAATGATAATTCAACGTTACCCAGATTTATTAAGTACATTTTTCATGCCATCTCCTCTGTTTTTTTTTTTAAACAGATTTTAATTTGTACCACTGAATCTGTATTAAAAACAAAACAAGGACCTAGCAACAATAACTCAAGTTCTCATCACTACCCAGTGGCACTACTACAGCATGTTCTATGTGGGACTGCTTTTAAAGAGTACAGTGGAACCTCGGGTTACGAACGCTTCTGTTAACGAACTTTTCGAGTTACAACTAGCTCCGGCCGCAAAATTTTGCTTCGGTTTGCGAATTCTACCTCGGGGTACGAACAGGATACGTGGCCATTTTCCCTCCCATGATATGGTCCGCGGCCATTTTTCCGCCCCTGACACGTGGTCGGCCATTTTTCCACCCCTGACACGTCGTCAGCAGCCATTTCTCCGCCCCTGACACATGGTCCGCGGCCATTTTCCGCCCCTGACACGTGGTCATAGGGAGGGGGACTCTCC